TTACATATTTTAGAGAACTAAAAAACCCTCAGAGAACTCTGTTGAGACACATGTCTATAACAGTTGATGTGCACGAAAAGACGGAAAACAGTTCCATGTTAAAAGCCTTACAATGGCTGAGCTTCTGGTTCTGTGTTTATCTTATCATTGATGTGTTTTTGAAGGTGTGTGAGGAAGTGATCGTGATGGGTATACTACAGACCAACAAGCCATCAAAGTCATTGGAGCCAACACACACTGTCAACTAGACTTCTGTAATTGCAGAGGTTTGTGTAGCCCAGTGTAAGATAAAGCAGCAGGCTCCTACCGGCTTTAAACTGTTACTGATGTGACTGTGATTGTCTGCTCTGTTCACTATATTGTTGTAACTGCTTTGATTCCAGCATGTATGTGTATGCATCCGATAAATGTGCATAAGGCAGCTTCTGAGATTTGCTGATTTTTACTTAAATTCTTAAGAATTGCTGACAACCTTTTTTGTCTGGCCACTGTATGCAGCAGCTGTGTAGCTCATTTATATAAGAAAACATTTCATATAGAGATATATGGTACCAAGCACAATGCAGGTATCTTTACTAGTTTTATTCTGACATGGTCATCATTCTTCCATCCAGAGTGCACTTTGTTTAAATAGATAATGCACCTGCACCCATCTGAGCACCCATGGCTGTGTTGGGCCTAACACGAGGTGTGGTTGGGTGTTATTTTATCTTGAGGCAGCAGGAAGAGATTGACCAACAAACACTGGTCTGAAGTCAGTGCCACACCATTTAATTGTTATTTTTAAGGAGTTCACGAAACACTTTTGGAGTCTCAGGGGTAAACATCGTTGAAACCAAATCCATTGCAATTGAAGTAAGCATGACCTATTCTTCAGACTGCAAAAACAACAGAAAGACACAACATCCCTCCATGCTGCTTGTGTGGTCTCATCCAAGTGTCCACAAGCCCCAACATTCATATTCGACTCAAAACAAGGTCATTTAAACCGTGTTGTAAGCTAAGTTTTCTGATATCCTCCTTGGAGGTGAGTTCACGTTCTCATGGACACACCAGAAAACCGCACACACTCTCGCCCAAGGGCACGTGCGGGGTGAGTGATCGCATCACTACATCCGCTAGCATCACTACTTCCGTTAGTGGACATTTAGGCCACGAGTAGTATGCAGGCATTTTATGGGTTTTTTCTGTTGTTTTATTATGTCTGAAGAAGAGGTCACATTGGCTCCAACACTGTTTACCTCTGAGACTCCAAAAGTGTTTTGTGGACTTAAACACTTTACCCACCCCTCCATTGGCAAAGTGGCGAGTATGAGTGAATTATCATTTTTAAATTTAACAATACTTTTAAATCTCTGGGTTATAAGTTATGCTAAGATGAACTGCCTAGAAGATTGATCTGGAAATTAAAGAGGATAGTGGCTAATTGTGCTGGATCCAGTATGAGCCAACTTTTCCACCTGCTCACACACACACACACACTCCTCTGTCCATGTTTAAACTAGGTTAAGTCAACAAATCCATCAAAATGTGGTTCTCACACACACACCTTTGTAATGATTATCAAAGGCGAAAGTAAGAAGAAATCACTTACGGTCCTGTTGCTGTTTTTGTCATTTTAGTATATGTATGTACATGTTGTTATTCAGAATAAATTTTTCAAGATTCACATTTTAGTATTGTTGTGAAAGTTGTAGGATCAGTTTACTGATTATAAACATTGCTAAGTACTCTTTCCATCCCTCGTGATTTAGTTGAACTCCACCAGAACTGACCTCAGCCCTCAGGACTATCTCCCTTTGTTCAACTTCCTGTCAGGAGAGGCAGTTGCATCTGACTTCCTGTAGGATTGTGACATTTCCTGTTCTGGCAGAGGGGGGGGGGGGGCATCGTCGTGCAAAGACTTTTCAGCTGTTGGAAGAAACAGGATACAGGACAGTGGATAGGCCGCAGTAGAAAAACACTAGCTGAAAGAAATCATACAGTGACTGAAGTCACAATAACAAAACACAGCTTCAGGTCACAGACTTGATGGTTAAAGGCCACAGAATAGTAAATGGAAAAGGATAAGTCCACAAAAAAAATTATGGTTGAGGGACTAAAATGATTGAAACTGGAGAAAATGTTGCTTTAGGCAACAAACAAACATGTGAGATAATGTTACTCAGATATTAGTCACTGGTTTAAATAGTACAAAAATAAGTTTGGTCAATAACACTCTTTCACAAACAGCCTGGACACCTGCACACACAAACTGTCTATCAGAGCTATCACCGCTTTCGAGTCTGATTCCTGTGCGTTAGATTCCAGGCTTTTCACTTAGTGGTTCACCCGATTAGATTGTTTGGAGAAAATTGTGTATACCAGACAACATATTGTTCTAAATGCTTCATGAATACACATACAGTGCACTGTGACAGCCTTTGTGGTCTTAGTCGCCCCATAATGCGGTGACTGAAATGCCGAGGAGGAGCTTCTTTCCAGAGAAAACTGAGGCTCTGAATTTTTGAGATTTAACTTGATCTGTGTAAAGAATTGACTCATACCAAGGGTTACATTCACCGGGAACTCCAATCTAAAACTCAGTCAGTCTAATACAACGGGTCCTGTAAAAACTCCTCTGTTTTGGTGTTTACTACAACGACCACCAGGACCCTGCCAAGAGCAGAGAAGATGAAAAGAAGGAGACAGAAGAAGTCAGCAAAGACCTGAACAACACAGTGAGCATCATAGAGGTAACACAGAGCTGTTATAGTAGTAATGGTAATGGTAGTAGTGCCACCCAGGGGTGTCATAGTCAGGAGAATAGTAATATACCCCCAGTACCTCTGGCGGAGGCAGTAGCTCAGTCCATAGAGACTTGGCTTGGGAACCGGAGGGTGGCCAGTTCAAGTCCAGCATGGACAGAAGTTGGAGAGGTGCCAGTTCACCTCCTGGGCACTGCCAATGGCACTGTCCTTGAGCAAGGCACCAAACCCCCAAATTGCTCTCTGGGCGCCTTCATGGCTGCCCACTGTTCCGCTGTGTGGATTGTGCAACACGGATGGGTTAAATACAGAGGTCAAATTTCCCCATGTTTGCATGTTGCATGCTGTGTGTGGGACCATAAAGAGGTCTTAATGTTAAGTTTAAGCTTCAGAGAGGAACGTGTGTGTTCAGTCCTCGGTTGGACTGATTTGTATTGTATCAAGACATGTTTCCTTTATGTATTCTATTTCTGGGGTGGACAAAATAACAGAAACTGAATTCTGGATTTTCTTGTGTATTGTGTGGCAGACTGAGCATAAGTGTTTCTCTCTTTGGCTTTGTGTGCTCAGTTCTCCTCAGACTCTACACTTTGAATTGGGATGATGTGACACTCATGAAACTTTCCTATCTCCGCTATGGTCCATGAATTAAAACCTGCTAACTCACTAGGGTAAACAATTTGGGATTGTTGTTGACAACGTCATGTACAGATCAATCAATTCAGTACATCCCTACAGTTGTCTCTTTCAGTTTTGCCTCTAAGTTAAACTGTCAGCTGAGAATTTGATTATTAACAGGCAGTTCCAGTCAACCTGTGCTGTATGTGAGTGACTCGTCCCCTGCCAAGGAGGTTATTCATCAGCTTTTGTTGTTGTCTGTTTGTTAGCAGCCAAGCTATACAATGCAGCAATCAAGTTAGAGAGCTCTTATGCTCTAACTGCAGGACAAATTAAGTAGTCTAGATAGTTGATGGAAAACACTGCTTTGACATGCTGAGATTCGACGTTAGCCTTGGCAGAGGTATGCCATTCCAGTTAAAACAAGTTTTCAAAGATAAAACATTGCAGTGTCCTCCAAAAACATACTCATCAAAAGAACACAACTTCCTATTATTGCATCCACCAAATCATGAAATGTGCAGTTTCCCACAGTGACTCACTGATAATAGGGGGGGGGGGTGGATTCTTGCTCCATCTAATTAACCTTATTACCAGCGACAGATAAACGTCATATCACCCTGCACAGCCCTGAGTCTGCTGCTGATATGAGGAGAAGAAGGTGCTGTGGTGTTTACTTTGACACCGTACTTCACTGTCACTCAGTACTCACATGACTGACAGTATGGTATTTCTAAGTGTGGCTCCATGGAGCTGCATGCAGAGTGTCAGAACACAACACAGCTGCTTATTTCTGTTGGTCGCTTCTTGTTTAATAAATGATTCACCTTATGTTCTCCATTTGAGAAGTAGCAGTCATATTAGATTATCTGCTGAATAAGGAGACCGTAAAACACAAAAGTACATGTATGTGATCACACGGATATTCATGCAGATTGCATCACAGTGAAAAATTTGGTGTAAATGAAAAGTAAAAAGCTTTCACTTATACTCTGAACCACAAGCCAAGAAAAGAACAAATAGAATATAAAAGCTTTTTATTAAATTACTTATAACTTAAAAATGCTCTCGAATCTCTAGAGTTAATCTTGAGAGAGACAAAAACGAGGCAGCTGTGGCACAGGGGATCAAGTGGGTCTTCCTCCCGCCAGAAGATTGGTGGTTTGATGCCTGGCTCCTCCAGTTCGAATTCCGAATTGTCCTAGGGCAAGACACTAAAGCCCATTTCTGACTGTGCCTCAGGCTGTGTTCTGAAAACATCTAGTTTTAAACACAAATATATAATTACAATTATATCAGCATGCTTTTTGTTTGATCCAGACATGCGAATCAGATGCAGGAGCACCTCGGCAGCCACTGCACAGCAGTGTTATGTTCATGTGACTGTAATATCCCTGCTTGGATTCCAACTCAGACCCTTGTCTTTCTTTATTTCCTGTCTATCTCCACTTTCACACATGAACTGTACAAAAAACTCAAAACAAGTCTCAAAAAGGGTGCAGAGTGTATGAAAACTGTGGCTGTTTCCTCAGATGTGAGTGTGATGGATGACAAAGAACAAAAACATGATTGGTGTGACTCCCATGCTGTAGTGTCAGCACTCTTGTGATAAGCGTTTTCCTCTGCTCTGAACAGGGAGTCCGTCCCGAACTCTCTCCACCATGTCCCTGTCCGTTCGCCCAGTCAGACGCCTCACCACCAGATCCATCACTAGGAGCCAGAGTTTTACTGGAGTCAACAACACCTACGACAAGCCCTACAGGTGTGTGTGTGTGTGTGTGTGTGTGTGTGTGTGTGTGTGTGTGTGTGTGTGTGTGTGTGTGTGTGT